TGGTCCATCTCTGGGCGATCAGGGGGCCCAGGAATTTGGCCATCAAGAGGTGAACCCTAATCCTACTTCTTCCACTGCAGAAAAGAGAGCTGGGGACCGGTGTTCTGAGGCAGAAGGCATCCACGCCTGCAGGGATGCCCACCACCTTGCTTCGAATCTGAATTCTTGGGGAAATACACCAGGACCCCACCAAAGCTCGGGGGCAGAGCCTTATCACAACCACAGTTCCAGGTCCCAGTTGGCCCTCAGAGGCCCCTCAAGCTCATCCCCTAGGCTGGCTCTTTATGAGCCACCAGTATCCCTCCCTAAACACTGGCCACTGTCCCTCCTCTAAGTTTCCCAGAAGCACGTGTGGCACACAGGTGGGAAGAATTGTGGGAGGTGGCTCTGGCAGGACCAGGAAGGAGCCTGGGGAGCCTCTGGGGGCCCGGCCAGAGGGAGAGGTGGTTTGAAAAGAACAGCTAAAGTTGGAGCTGCCCACAGGGCCTCTTGCTCCCAGAGTAAATTTACCAAAGCCCACATTACCTTTTCTCATTACCTGGAAGTCTAGTGTGCTGGAAGAGAAGCATCTGTCTTAGTGAGCCATCTGCTTGTAGAAGTCTAAGAATTCACTTGATTCTACACCCCTAGGCCCCTGCTCATGGCCATTGCTAAGTGACTGCTGCACTCTTTTCCCGATCTCAGAATGCTTCCAAGCAACTCAGCCCTCCCATCTGGAAGCTGTGACAGCTGCTACCAGTCAGCGCTCCAGGGCTGGGGAGAGGTGACAGCATAATCTGCCCTTCCTGTGCCATGTGGCCACCAGGTTTGCCTCATCAGACAGGAGAGGACTAGGGAGGGGAAGGTCCATGATGGAGCTGAGGAACTAGAAGCTTCTAGTGGAGCATCCAGAGACTGGATCGCCTTTCACATTGGGTTTGGTAAACTCTGAAATGGAGGAGACCCCCAACCTCGGGAAGGTATCTGCTCTTCCAGGAGGGAAGGAAAGAAACTGGCCCAATCCACTACCAGAGCC